TATATTTATAATTATTCCAAAGAAATACATTCTTAAATTACTACTATTATTAATACAAATTTTGTGAGTTTAGATTAGTACAGTCTAAGCACAAATGATCTGTTTAGCACAAATTTAGTACAAATTTACTGACATTGGTTAGTTTCTTAATTGTTTTAAAACTCAAACCAATTCTTAAATACTATTAATATTAATATACATAATATTATAATTAAAATACAAAATATATATTTTTTCATAAATGTTCATTAACTTAAACTAAAACCTTTTTACATTAAAAAAGTTACTTGAAATAAAATAAACATTAACTGAATTAAAACATCACAGTAAGGTGCCAATGTGACATTAATTTTGTTACATTTGAAGTACTAAAATAACTAAAACTGAACGAAATAAAATTAATAGAAACTGTTTAGATAAAAAATTGACAAAAACACTCAATGAAATTTAAAAACTTGGAAAAAAAATTAAAACAGATTAATAAAAAAACTAAATATTAATAAAAGCTGTAATTGTGTATTGATAATACTAAAATAATCCTGATACAACATACTGTATACAGAGAAGCAAATAGTGTTATTTTTAAAAATAGCATGCAGTGAGCGTTATGCTGCAATGCTGTCACCTCGCTATGTTGCCTTTTTAATTCTGTAAGTAGATGGTTATAATCTCAGAAATAAAAAAATTACTTTTTTAAACCAATTTTGTGCAATTCATCACTCTCGAAATTAAAGTTCAAATAGAGCGCACTGCACTGTGGAACTATTATGGTTGCAAACTGTGCATTATGGCAACTACAGAAGCTGATCTGGGGACAGAAAACTGCACATACTATACACGGCATACATACTACATGCCTAGTAAGAGTAGTATGGTTGACTGCCATTCTAAACACCCAAAGCTACTCTTCTGCAGTAAACATGGGTTCAGGCGTATATGTGCACCTGTATGTTTTCCAGCTGGTACTCCAGGTCTGTCCGCTCGGTCTTCAGAAGATCCGTCTGGTCCAGTGCGTCCTGAAGTCCTTGAGTCAGTCTGAAGATGTGGCTCTTCTGCATGTCCAGCTGCTGCTGCAGTTTTGCTTGCTGAGAGAAAAAGATACACTGGTTATGGTAAGGATGCACGATTACACACGTGTATGTTTTGAGTGCTAGTAAAGTGAAGCACCTCGTCCATGAGCCTCTGTTTGAGCTCTCGCTCCGTCTCCAGCTTCTGCTGCAGGCTGTGCGCGTTCATCTCCAGCATGGCGTGTTTCTTCTCCAGATCACTCAGCTGATGAAGATAGAGCATGGTGGGAAATGAATGGGGGCTTGTTGCAAAAATGGCCCACAAATTCAAGATAATAGGACAAAAAAAATGGGGCATAAACAACAAACCTCAGATACAATGTAAGAGCTTAATTACGTCATGGAACAACTTGTTTGTCTGTGTAGAGAATACACCAGAATATGACACATTCTCCAAACACAAAATTGTTTTTATAAATATTTCATTAATCTATATTAATAATATTTTTTACAATACGAGTTCAGTTAATATTTATTATTATATATTATTATTATACATTTATAATTATTATACCAGCAATAATAATTCAGTTTTTTTATTTATATTTACATACAACTTTAATCAGTTTTTTGTTATTGGTGTATTCAGATTCATTTAAGTATTGGTTAACTTGAACCCTCTGGTGCTGCTTGTGTGGTGATCAAAAATCACAGATATTTTTTTCAATTAAATATGTGTTATATTTTAGTTAGATATATATATAATATATATTTATTTATTTATTTATTTTTTATATATATATTTGATACTTTTTGGTGATTTTATAGTACTAAATTGTATTTATAATATATAGTTATGATCAACCTGTTAACTTTTTAAGCATAGACATGAAAATGAAATTTCCAACCTAAACTTGAATTCTTTGGAGCACAGTCTTAAGTTTGGTCTCTTTTAAATGAGACACTTGGCAGATTTTTGCTGAAGTGAAAAAAAAAAAAAAAAATTTTTTTTTAAACTTTCAGAAGTTTAAGATTATTATGAAAAAGATACTAATATACTATTTTTATATGAATGTATATTTTCCAAAACGTGAAGAAAATTAAAGCCATAAATCTAAACAAGCTGTGTTCCAAATTTGAGGTTGATATCTCAAAAAATGACCTTAAGAGTTTAGGCACAATACCAGGACTTTTTTCAGGACCATTTAACCATTTCAAATCATGTCTGTGTTATTTTGTTTTATTTGTGTGTGTGTGTGTGTGTGTGTGTACTTGTTTATGCTACATTGTGGGGACCCCACAAGGATAGTAAAACCTGAAATATTTGACATTATGAGGACCGGCCTGCGGTCCCCATGAGGGAAAAAATTATTACAAATAGTAAATGATGTTTATCTGAAAGTGTAACAATGCAAACGAAAGGTTTTCTGTAAGGGGTAGGTTTAGGGTTAGGGGATAAAAAATATCGTTTGGTCAGTATAAAAGTAATAGAAGTCTATGGAAAGTCCCCACAATTCACAGAAACTGTGTGTGTGTGTGTGTGTGTGTGTGTTCACAACTATTACCAAGTTTTGTACCATTCCATACCAAAAATTCTAAAGAAAAAAATAAAGAAAAAATTACCAAACTGCACCAGAGGGTTGACAACACAGATACAATTAATAAAGTAATATAAAAATGTCCCTTATAAAGGTAAAAATGCCCCTGGAAATCAGTTCAAGAGGGTAAATATTGCCCCTTAATGGAAAAGTTCATTTCCGACCCTGATACAGAATAAGTATTGCTGTTGTCATTAAGCAGGTGTTGTTATCCACAGCGACGCACGAGCACTGGCACACTTACCGTATCAGAAAGACCTTCAGCTTTGAGTTTCTGGTCTTTCAGGGCCTGTTGCAGAACCAGGATTTCAGCTTTGTGCTCTTTGACCGCCAGTTCAACGGCCTGACGAGACTCAGAATTGCGCTGCTCTGCACGGAGTCTGGAGACCGAGAGCGAGAGAGAGAGAGAGAGAGAGAGAGAGAGAGAGAGAGAGAGAGAGAGAGTTATAGAAGAATGAAGTGTTGGAGCAGCACAGTATGTCTCTTACTCAGTGTCATCTCTATACTTAACGTTCTTTATGTAACTCTTATATAACTATGGGCACTTCTGGCCCTGTGGACATTCAAATATAAACTGTTTTAACAAACTTTGAACACTTTCTAGTTTATTTCGTACACTGTTAATGTCAACAGTTATATATAAACATATCACAGCAGAATTCTTTTTTTGGAGGCTATATACAAATCTAGAATTGTATGCATTTAATAACGTATATTAATTTGCATTAAAGATATGCATTCATTCATTTATATTTGCATTAATGTCAACATTTTTATCATGCCTTCAATTATACCTTTATTTATTTATGAATTATTTAACAATATAAAATATTTAATATACGTATGTTATATAATAATAATAATTATTATTATTATTATTGTTATTATTATATCTAAGTTTGCAGTTTTCATTGTATAAAGCTTTGTATAAAGTCCTTTGACATCATCATAAATCCACTAAATGCATCGATTATTTAAATTTTATTATACATATTTTGGAACTATCCAAATTATGTATCATGTCAATATACAATGGAAACATTTTTCTGGAGTAGGGCTATATGCATAGCTAGTCTTTTTATATTCTAAACATATGTAATGAAATAATGTAGTTATGTGCTTTAAATATATGCATTTATATATTAAATTTAATTTTGCATTAATAAGTACAGAAACAAATGAAGGCCTGATTAAAAAAAAAGCAAAGTTCTGAAATTATTTATAAAATTATTTGGAATTATTTGATCATTTTGATATATAATATATAATCTTTTTTATATGAAATTCGCAAATTATATATTTTTAAATGTTTTATATACATTTCTAAACTAATAAATCTTAATATATCTCAGTTTACAGTTTTCATTGTATAAAGCTAAGTTAGAGTGCTTTGCTTACTATAGTATTTTTAGAGCTGATTTACATCAGAATTGAATTTTGTTTGCATCATTGAATCACTATTTTCTTGTTCATCACTGTTAAGCTGCTTTGAAACAATCTGTATAGTATAAAGCGCTATAAAAATAACGGTGACTTGACTGACTTTGTCCTCATAATAAAGCCACTAAATTGAAATGCTATCCAGACTCAAACTCATATCGTGTCATCCAGCTCTCACAGTCAAACGTGTGGTTTCTGTACCTGTTCTGCTTCTCGTTGTCCAGTTGTCTTTGTATGTCTCTGGTTCGGCGCTCTGCCTGGTTCTTCTCCTCTTCCAGGGCAGATCTCCAGTTCTCCCACTGTCTCTCCTTCTCCAGCAGCTCATCGTTCAGCGTCTCCAGCTCCAGCACCTGCTCCTCCAGCATCGTACATGTGGTCTTCAGCGTCTCGATGTTCTACACACACAAGCACATCTATCATTTATATGCTATCACACTTTTACATTTACATTTACATTTACATTTTGTCATTTAGCAGACACATTTATCCAAAGCGACTTACAAATATGGACAATAAAAGCAGTCAAAACTAACAAAAGAGCAACAATATTTTGCATAAGTGCAAATGACAAGTCTCGGTTAGCCTAACGCAGTAAACATAGCGAGGTGTATATATATATATATATATATATATATATTATACACACACACACACAGGGCCGTTTCTCGCCAATTTGACGCCCTAGGCGAAATCCCTATTCCACCCCCCCCCCCACTATAT